GCGACCTGCTGTGCTGCGGCCGCGGGCACCGCGAGGAGAGCGTGCAGCTGGAGGAGAACTGCCTGTGCCGCTTCCACTGGTGCTGCGTAGTGCAGTGCCACCAGTGCCTCGTGCGCAAGGAGCTCAGCCTCTGCCTCTGACCTGTCGCCGGCCTCTCCCAAGGCGCGCAGCGCTGCCTCTCTACCTGTGTGACCTCTGGGCTCCAGCAGGAGGCGCTGCCGTGGCCCAGTTTACCCTGGCAAAAGTCCATCTCTCAAGCCTCTGGAAACTGAGGTTGGAGATATTCGCGTGCCCAGGAAGGCCCAGTGCGGCGGAGGGATCCCCAGAGGTGCTTTAACGGGTTCTGGGGAGACTATACGCTGCAGGGAGCTCCGCGGTTTCCCTCTTTTGGTCCCAGATGGAAACTTATCTAGGCCTCTGGATGCGGGGTCCTCAGAACTGCTGGCCATGTGCTGGGTGGGTGAGTTTAGTATCAATAAAGATATTTAAACCAATAGGACTGGGACCACAGTTTGGGAGGGGGGCTGGTCTCCTGCGGGTTGACATGGGACCAGGCTCTGGAAGGAGTGTCTAAAGGGAGATGGTTTTGATAGAACTGGGTCCCTCTCTCCCCCTCACCCTCCCCCCGCCCCCCATGGGTCTGGGCTCTCCTGGCAACCATGCTGAAGAGTGCCAAATCTCCCCTTGGCATTCTTCTTGTTCACTCTTGTCACACATCTAGGGCCTGGATCTACAAGCTGGGGAAGAAGTAGCAATCCCTCTTTAAAGTAACAGACTCTTGAGAGGGTTTGGGGAAAGCAGAGGGGAAGCGTCTACTGGTATACTCAGCTCTCATCAACATTCTCGGGGAGTGTGATATCCTCATCTGCCCTTCTGTTTCTGTGATCCCTGGGGGATTTGCGGGTAGACTTTTAGGACCACCCAAGCCCATAGGATTAAAGCACTTTATGAACTATAGAATGTGATGAAATATGTTATTACTAACATCAGACTAAACATTTGAAACTAACTTTACCCCCATTAACACTGAAAAGACTGCTCAGAACAGCATTTCTAATTACACCTAGAGGGAGACAAAGAAAAGTTGTTCCAAGGTTTTTCCTGGCACCCAACTACATTTCCTCCCTTCTAGCTCTTTCTCAGGAAGCTGACGGTTAGTGTGGAGGGAAGAGAGGAAAGGTTTGGGCGATCTGGGCTCTCCAGAGCTGAACTTCATGCCCCCATCGTCCTCCAGAGAGAATGGGGGAGGGAATAGCCAAAAGGCTAGGATTCAATGCCCCCAATATTATCATAGTCCAAATATTGCACATGCCCCCTTCAAGGTATGTAGGGCAAAGCAAGAGCTTTGGGTCTGAAGCTGGTGCTGCTGCTTAGAAGTTTACAGTACAGATCATGTGAGGCTCAGTTTCTTTACTTATATAATGGAACTATCATCCTGTTTCAGTTATCCATTGCTGCATAACAAACAACCCCAACAAAACTACTTCTCACGATCCTTTTGGTCAGGAATTTGTCAAAACTCAGCTTGGTTGTTCTGCTCTTTTTTGGCTGTAGTCATTCACTTGGCTGTACTCCACTGGTGGCTGGGCTAGGCTGGGCTGGACACTCAAAGAGGCTTCACTCATATGTCTAGGGCCTCAGAGCTTCTTCAGTGGCCTTCCTCTCCATGTGTCTAGCTTGGGCTTCCTCATAGCATGGTGGCCTCGGTGTAGTGGGACTTCCTACATAGGCTGACGTTTGAAATAGACTGTGCCAAACTGGGAGGCAGAAGCTGCCGGTCTCTTCTTTTAGTTCCAGCTTTGGAAGTTGCACAGCATCTCTGATACTCTCTATTGGTCAACACTAGTCATAGAACCAGCCAAAATTCAAGGGGAGGAGAAATAGACTCCACCTCTCCATGGGAACGTGGCGAAGAATTTTCAACCATTATAATCCATTCCACATCCTCATAGAATTGTGGGGAGGACATCTTTGGACTATGAAAAGCACTCAGCACGGAGTAATTTATGTGAAATGTATGCTTAATAAATGGTAGTTACTGTAAGAATGGGAATAGAAAGCTGCTGGGTTGTTGTTGTTGTTGTTGTTTGTAGGTATTAGGCAGACCCTGACTGAAAATAAAGATACCCAACTCAAACTAGCTTGGTCCAGCCTGGCCCATGTGGCTCAGTGGTTGAGCTTTGACCCAGGAACCAAGAGGCCACAGGTTCTATTCCTGGTCAAGGCACATGCCTGGGCTTTGGGCTTGATCCCCAGTAGGGGTCATGCAGAAGGCAGCCGATCAATGATGCTTCTCTCTCATCTCATCGATGTTTCTATCACTCTCCCTCCCTCTTTTCTCTATAAAACTCAATAAAGACATATACTTAAAAAACTAGCTTGGTCCAAAGAAAGATAATGAATGGGTCTTATAGCTTACAAGTCCAGGGGTAAAAGTGAATTCAGGCACAGTGAACCCAGGGGCCCAAAGGGTCATACGTCTCTTTTCCCACCTCCACCCCACATCCATTGTTTCTGCTTACCTCTGCCTCTCTTTTCATGCCATCCTCATTCGCCTACTGCCGATTGACTTTCTCTAAATGACAGCCTACATTCCTAGAGCTAGTGATTTGAAAAAGAGTGGCTTTCTAAGCAGAAGTCCTGAGGAAGACCCTGACTGGGTCAGCTTGGGTTTCTTGCCTATTCCTGAAGCAATAACAATGTCCAGGGAGATGTACTACTTTGACCGGGATTGACAGCCCCACCAAGACCACAGGGAATAGGGGCACAGGGAGGTTGGCAGAGTTCTTTCAATGAAACAGAAGGAAGGGGAACTCATCCTGGACGTGCCAGACCCTAACCATGGCTTCTAGTGCATTTGTCCCCCCTGCCCCTCAATGCCCCTCCATCCTCATCTATGACTTAGCCTGGTTCAGACCTCAAGGATCAGGTTGGGCCCCAGCATGTGGCATGCATAGGCTGCTGTGGGAAGGAAGGAGTATCTGGGTTTTCCTTCCTGCTTCTCCTGGCTCCCTCGGGTCAAATGCCTGGGCTTCAGGGAAGTGTCGTGGAGAATTTGGACTTAGAACTTCTTGTACAAGCGGACTTGAATAACTTACAAAGGGAAGAGAGTGGAACTGGTGTTGTGGGCCACGTGGAGGTGAAATGAAGCTTCCTACAGATAGGGTTTTTATTCACATCTCTGCCTTCCCCAGAGCTCTTTGATGGGTACAATACTTTAAAAAATAATATCCTGAACTTCTTTCAGAGACCACCAGAGGGTGCACAGAGCCCAGTTTCTCTATTGAAAGGGACCAACAGAACCTGCAGGACATTTAGGGAACTCAGAATGGTAGGCAGGAGAAAGGATGAAAGGAAGCAAGGAGACCCAGAGACAGTTTAGGTTAAGCTGCTAGGGTTCCAGATTGGCTGGGATGCCTGCCTCCCCATCTTTACTTCCAGGTCCAGGGGAGTGGGGGAGTGGAGAGTGTATGGGGTGGATGATACTGGACATTCTTCTCCATGATGCCAGAGAAGGAAACTGAGGCAGTGGCATGAACGGATACCAACCCAAGCATGTTAAAAGGAATTCAGAGGAAGTAGCATGATACGGTGAACGAAAGGCCTAGTTTGCTAGCTCGACCTTGATCAAATCAGTTAATCTCTCTGAGCCTCAGTTTTCCCATCATTAAAGGGGGGGGGTGCCTGGTAGCTTATTAGTACATGTAAAAGTACACTGCAATCTTTAAAGTGCTAGTCACTTGTTAGGGGTCCATCTTCTGTGACTGAGCCTAGCAGGAGTCTGGGAACAGCTATCTGTGAAGGGTGCGAGTAATGGCCCGATAGGCACCATTTTAGCCATTATCCTGGTCCTTTTTAAGATCAGAGAGGGCTCTGTGCTCTTGCACTGCTGCCTGGGAAGGAGGCTGGAAGCAGAACTCAAAAATGTCCCATCATACACTGCCCCCCCCCGCCCCGCACCTCCCGTTGCTGACCCAATTGCTCAGCCCCAGGCACAATCTGAGCCACCAAAGCTCCTGCTGGCTGAGGGATGGAGGACATGTGGAATCAAAGAGATGGGGGAAGAGTACTGAGATGCTCCAGATGTGTGAGTGACCATATCAGGAACAGCCTGAATGCAAGATGGGTGGGGAGATGGCTGGAAGGGCCAGGATCAGCTGGAGGCTGAGAGCTCAAGAAACATTTCCCCTTCCCTTCAATGATGAAACAAATTAGGTGTTTGGGAGGCTGAAGCAGCAAGCTATGCTCCCTTACCTTGCTGAGGGGTAGTGGCCCCTGAGACCTAGACAAGTGGACAAAAAGCTCCCGTATCAGTCTGGGACTCCTTCCCTCTCTTCTTCACCAAGACAAACTTCTCTGGCAGAGCATCAGGACTGAGGGTCCCACCTGTTCTCACCCTGGTGCCTTCCCAGCACTCCCTTCCCTGCAACCTCCTCCAGAGCTGCCACAGCTGGAACCATTCTCAGAGCTGCCTTTCAGCCATGGTGCTCCCCCACCCCCAGTGGCCCCTGTAATTGTGGTCTCAGGCTGCACTGAGGCTGCTGCGGGGGCTGGGGCTGGGCTGAGGGCCAGAGCCCAGGGCAGGGCCAGGGTGGGGCCTAGGGGCTGCCCATGGTGTGGGTCATATGAGGCTGGGGCAGGCACTCTTTCTGTGCTTCATCTGCACATAGACCAAAACCCTACATATGCCCTCTCCTCCCCAAACTGTGGAGAGGTGCCCCAGGCTTGGTGCTTCTAAACCCTCACGACATCGGGCCAGAACCACGCCCTAGTGCAAGCAGGGTTGGGCAACATTATTTGTCTCCTGGGGGTTTCGAAGAAAAGGCCTTCTCCCTCTCTTCTACATGTCTATGGTTCATGAACAGTAGAGGGTGGGAGAGCAAAGAGACCTCCCTCCTTAGATGGAGGCCGAAGGAAAAAATCAGCCACTCAAGCAGATCAGCAGTGTTTCCCAAATGTGGTCCTCACAAAAATCACTTGGGATGCCAGTTAGAAAAGCAGATGTCCAGGCCTTGCCCCTGGAAAGGATGGTTCAGCTGCTTGGGACTGGAAGCAGTATTTCCCACAATGGCCTACCCCAGGGGATACGTATGATGCATGGGTACTGGGAAATGCTAGTGTGAGCACTAGACAGGGAGTAAGGATTAGGAACCCATTCCTAATTGAGCATGTTCCTTTCTGGGCCTCAGTTTCTCTAGCAGCCAATGGGAGCATGACCTCCCAGCCTGGCTTGCCCCTGCTCTCACACTGGGTTCATGCCCCCTTCCTGTGTTGAGTCTGGTGTTGCCCTGTCCCTCTCTATACCCTTCCCAAAATCTAGTCCCAAATTTCCTGTGCCTGCAGCATGGTGCCTGCAACATGGTGGGAGAGAGAGGTGGGGGCAGAGGGCAGCTGGGGTCAAACAAGTCTCT